TGCACTGACTAGTGGCCAAACAGCCCACAACCGGTCTGCAAGTGTGTTCCAATAATTTGAAATCTATTGCGGCAGTTGTATCGCCAATAGCATATGAAGGAATAACTTCAGTGAAGAATTCTGCACCGACACCTGTCGGATATTAGTCAGGGGAGTAGTTGTTTTCTGATAGGTGTCAGTCCATTAACCTACCGTGTAGGGAGTTGAGATTGTTCTGAACGAATTGTTCATTTAGTCGAATTTTCAGGAAATGTGGTAGATAAATTTGAGTCCACCAGTTCAGTTAAAGATTGACCAACACCCGTACGTCGAAAAAAATGCAATATCTGTCAAAAACATCGCCGCTGTCTGTTAGGCGCGGTTTCCACTGGAGCGATACAATAAGCGATGTGTCCTTGGTGGAATGATGTCCTCTCTACTCTCGAATTTTAAAATCATACCGGCTTGCCGCACTAAGGCAGAGATCTTAGCCGCATAGATGCAGAAGGCTGTCATTCTTGGCTCACTGCGCTTGCTCAGGGCACATTATTCTCGGACCCAATGATCACTTACCCCACGGTGTGGGAAGTGGTCATTGGTTGATAATGCTGGCGCGCCCTCCCGGGGCTTCGGGGGATAGAGCCTGACCAGCGCATACTTCGGTAAAAAAATAATAATAGATAGACAAATGTGTAACGGACCATCTCAAAAGAGGACGATGCGGGACTACGGAGAGAATGTGCAGCTCGGAGATGGAAACATCCCACACCATCTGGATGCCAGAGAGACGTATACTTACCTCGGGGTGGAACAACTCCACTCACAAGAGGTAACCGCACTGAAGAACTCTCTCCGCGGCAAGTATCAGCACAAACTTCGACAGATCTGGTCATTGGAACTGTCGGGGAAGAACAAAGTTGCTGCAACAAATATGCTTGTCGTTCCAATCTTACTCTACTCGTTTGGAGTAGTGAAGAGGACTCGGCAGGCTTGCCGTACTAAGGCAGAAATCTTAGCCGCACAGATGCAGAAGGCTGTCATTCTTGGCTCACTGCGCTTGCTCAGGGCACATGATTCTCGGATACAATGATCTCTTACCCCACGGTGTGGGGAGTGGTCATTGGTTGATAATGCTGGCGCGCCCTCCCGAATGTATCGGGGCTCCTGGGGATTGGGCCTAACCAGCGCACACTACGATGAAAAAAAAATTATAATAATAACATTTGTCTACATGACAGAATGATACTGGATACATCCTGTAAAGTCGTCAGGAGTTCGGACCCCCTTCTCTGCATGGTCCGTGACCATGAGAGAGCAGGAATTGGGAGCATTTCTCTTTAGGGCAGCTGCCCAAGCAGCTGATGAACTTGGTATAGTTTTCGATACAGAACGAGGTGACCACAACTCTGTCACCGAGTTGGAACCCGTTCAGCAAAAAGCTCAGATAAAAGCCGCAGAGATCACGTTACTTCTGCGGAAACACAAGAATAAGCCAATACATGGGGTCTTCTTCAATAACATTGGAGACCTTTGCTTATCAAAGCGCCTGACGTTCGCTTTTCTCAGGTTGAGTGGGCTGAAGTCGGAAACTGAGGGGTTCATCATGGCTTGCCAGGATGGTGTCTTCAACACCTTAGTCTACCGCAGTCGTGTGATAGGTATAGAGGTTCCTGACACAAGGTGCAGGGTCTGCCGCGAGGCGCCCGAGACCCTGCTATATTACCATCTACGGTAATTGTGTCTTGAAGATATTCAACCTGTTTCATTTTCGGTGCCGCACAGTGTATATCGATGAAGCAGTAGTGTGCCGAAACAGATTTTTTTCAGAATTCAGGATTTTGTATAGAAAATTCACCTAATATATGATTTATGGGGTAATCAAACTAAAAATTATGATGATTCTAATCATTTGTTTTTTTTGTTATTCAGCTGGCGCCCCCTACAAACGACTAATTTCAACAGTCGAAACTTGTGTGAGTTGAGGACTAACGAGGTCTTACCTTTTAACGTGTGATTCCCAACACGTGTTGGACTTTAGGAAGTGAAAATCGATCAATCGGCCTTGCGGTTAGAACCACGAACTGGAGATACATGAAAATATTAAAAATGGAAAAGTTTTTTAAAATATGGAAAAGTTTTTCAATGGTACAAATTTACACTGTTTGGTGAGACGGATATTCAAATATTTCATTTGGATTTGGAAAAGTTGTGTAATAGCATCGAATTACTAAATTAGTGAAAATTCAGTTAATATAATTACTGCAGGCAATAAATTAATGTCGTCAACATTTCCTACAAAAGGGACACCGAAATACATAACCGAGGCTGAAGAGGGTTTAGAATTTAGTGAAGCAACACCATTTGCACGCTTAGTAGCTGCGGTCATTTGTTTGCAGGCGGGAGTCTCTGTAGAGTGTTTGAACATAAAATAAAGGACGACCAACTGATACCGAAAGCAGCAGCTTAAAGTTTCTTATGTAGTATAAGAAGTGGGATTGGAAAATGTAACCAATATTTTCAACAGCTGACATCGGTTCATATGGAAAACTGTTACATTGAATGGGATATTTTATT